TCGGCTCGGTGCATGCGTATGACGTTCACTGAAGCCTCCACCACTGACCCGCACGGGGCGCGTACCCCAGCCCCCAGCGCCTCCCCGCCAGGCCCAGCTCGGTACCTGAGTCTCGCCCCTCACGCTCTCAGGCCAGGCTTCTGCCCCAGCGGGTCAAGACTCCTTCCCTCAGGCAGCGTGCGCAGCGTTACCATCACAACAAGCCCTCCTGGCCCCTCCGGCCTCGGTACAGAGCCGCCTTGCCACAGAGCGTTTGCGCATGCTCCGAGCCAGCAGGAGGCGGTGTAGGGGGCTGCAGAGGGTGCAGGTACAGTATCAGTGGTGGAGGCTTCAGTGAACGTCATACGCATGCACCGAGCCGAGAAGCTTCAGTCTGCAGTCTGCGCATGCTCGATGCCAGTAACTCTAGCGGCCGAGCGAGCTTTGCGCATGCTCAGTACGAGCCCCAACCATGCGCAGAACGCCATGGTGCGTTCTGCGCATGTCAAGTGTGGTCCCTTGCGGTCACCGGGTTGGGTCGTGCGCCTGCGCCGTAGACGGAGTCAGGGCGGGGGCGCAGCCGCGCTGAAGCCTGGCAGCCGGCGATGGCGGCCGTGGCGGCGTTAGGGGCTGCGGGCCCATGAGGCGGCCCAGGCCCCGCGGACTCAGCACAGCGCGGAAGGGGCGGCGGAGGCGCTGCTCGCATCCAGGCCATGGCGGGCGTGTTCGACATTGACCTGGACCAGCCCGAAGACGCGGGTTCGGACGAGGAGTTGGAGGAGGGGGTGAGAGGGGGGAGCCTGAGCCGGCGAGGGGCTGAGAGGGAGCGGGCCTCGCCAGGGGCAGGGCGGGGGGGCCCGGCCCAGTCCGGTGAGCCGCCCAACCTGGGCTCCGAGGGGGAGACCCACCCGGTCGGGCGACGGGCTTGGAGACGGGTCCGCTCCGGTGAGGGGCCCGATGCGCTGAGGAGGCTGACGGGGGCCGGCCTAGCGAGCGGGAGAGGAGGGGCGGCCTGGGGAGGGAGCGAGGTGTCGTGGCTGGGTGAGCTGCCCGCTTCTGTGGCAATTGCACCACCCATCGCGGGTGGCCCCGCTCTGGGGGTGGGCGGCGCGTCCCCCCACGTTAGCCCTAGGCACTCACTGCTTGGGTAGCGGTTTGTTTTAACGCCGATGTGCCCCACTCAGGCGACACGTTCCTTTCCCCCTTCATATTTGGTGGTTCCCCCCCCGCCTGGCTTTTGAGGTGACGGCTGAGACCTGCACACGGCTGCTGCGGGGCATTTATAGCAGGAGTCACATCTGTCCTGTGCTTGGACTTTGTAGTTATAAAACTTCCCCATAGCGGAGAACTCAATCTGGTACTAAAGATAATACATTTGAATTGGATCAAATCTTAAGTAACTCAGTAACTAGGATTTCTTTTTCTAAGCATAGATTTATTGCTCTAAGAATTGTCAGTGATTGCCTACTAGCTGATTTACCATAATATGCCAGGCTAAATTTGAGGATGATTTTGTGTGTGAATGAGTGGGTTGTTTTACCTTTTCTAGTATATAATTAAAAGAAAACACAACCCAGAACTACTTATTTTCAGTTCAAAATAGTTTGACATAAGTGTCCTACACATTAGATCAGCCCAGAAATGCTAATCTATATTGGAAAATTTATAATCATCACTTCTGTGCTAACATCTAAAGTCAGAGATGGCATGGTATTTACCAGAGGTGGTTTTTACTACCCTGGGAAAAACTAATTAGTCCCAATTTAAGGCATTTTCTGCTTTAAAAACTATTTTGTTAATGCATACCATATTATTGTTTGTTAGGTATTCAAATTGTGGTTATATAAGGCAGTATATTCATAGATTAATTCAGAGTTTTACAAATAAAAAGTAAAACTGCAGTGGTTGTAATAGTAAATATGTAATTATAACACTGAACATCTGAATGTCTGTATTTTGGTTCAGTATTTTCTTAAGGAAGTCATACATGTCATGACTCATTTCAGTTTTCAATATTGTATAGACAAAAGTCAAAAACATTTGGTTATATGAAAACTGCAATAATGCAGAGTTGTAGGTTTGAAGCCTTAAGCAGTTAGAAGCATACATCCATTTTTGAATGGATGTATCCAGAGTTTGACAAGATTTGTTCCTGAACTTGCTGGACACTGATGCAATTAGTTTTTACCAGTTTTCTGGTTTAAACCGGGTTTAAGATGGTATTTATCAGTGCTGTGGCCAAACTTCTTTTCTCCAGGGAATTGTCAATCCTGTCTAAAGTGCACAGCCATTGAACTGTAAAAAGTTTATAGTGAATACCAGGTACAGAAGAGTGATGAATGTTACAGCCTCTCCAAAATAAACTGAGCGCCTCACCTTATGTCAAGCTCCTATTACCTTGCCAATCTGATGTTGCTCTTGATCTTGTGTCTTTAGGGTTGTACCATTACAGTCTGAAACCAGCCATTGCTTACAGTATTTTTACATAGCTTATTTGGTGTCCATCAGTGTCAATAGTTTAAAAACAGTACAGATATTATTTTGCTGGCTCACTGTAGCCAATATAATTTCTCAACTTTAAAGAAAAGACCCTGGGAGCAACATCAGTAACCAACAAAATGCCTGGCTAAAAATGTCCCTCAGATCACACCTTGAAGGCTGCCAACAGTCTCAGATGGTCCATGGAAGTGAGCAAATTGCGGTCCTAGAGTTCCCAAAAGTTCAACCCTAAGGACTGAGAGTCAGAGAATCCTAACTCATCAACCGTTATGACTGTACTCTCCCATAAATGTGGGTAATATTTGCAGCACAATTTCCGTTAGAGTTAATGCCCATTAACAAGCAAACTTGGCTCTCGGGCAGGATGAACAATCAAATTCAGTTCATGACTACTCTCACTTTCAGTGTTAGTAACACTAGAAGGGGAAAAAAGCAATAAAATAAGGCTTTTGAACAATAAAGAGTAGAGTTACTGTAGACTTAGTATATTTAAAGCAAAACATAGAACCAAAGAGGAGAACACAAGAGCAAATAATTTGAGGGTGGAGGATCAACAGGAAAGCATGAGCTTTACTGAAAGCTACCTCCAGGTGGCATAGTGCGTAACTCTGAGGAACAGAAACACATCTCTGAACTGAGAGTTTGAAATCATCAAACTGTATGTGAGCTGGATGTGAAGCTACATTAGACTAGGTAATACTGCAGCTGGAAAGTTTTCACTCCAAAAAGCTATCATGGCAGGAACAAGAACAAGTGCTGTTACAGGTGTGCCTACAGATACGGCTAACCTAGGAAATGAAATTGCCACAAGACTACTTCTGACTAGGGAGATTGCAATTAAGCCACAGTTCTTGGTTGCCACAGAGTTTTATTGAATATAACAGCAGCTTTAATATTTCTCTCATCTGTAAGAAAGTCAAATGACAGTAAATGCAAACCAAAGTGAGACTGTCCAGCTAGAATACTACTAGTCTTCAAATGCTTGGTTGTCTGAGATGACAAGAAGGAAGACCCATGGCTTCTTGAATGAAAAACAGATTTAAAAAAAACTTTTAAAAAACAAGTGTAATGCTGATGAAGATGAGACTTGGAAAATGAAGGCCTCTGTTTACAGAACAAGACCAGTGTGGCTGACAGTATAACATGCTTTCCTAACTTGAATCACGGTATGATTGTCAAATAATTGCGGCTGAGTTGCAGACAAGGCATGGAAAAGTAATAATGGACCATTATTATTTGCGGTAATTTGGAAAAGCCAGAGAAGACCTATTTGTTTAAGAAAA